AGAGACAGATAGAGAGAAATATCAATGTGAGAGAGACACATTGGTTCATTGCTTCCCACAAGTGCCCCGACCAGGGCCAGGGACCAAGCCTGCAACTGAGGCACTTGCCCTTGATTGGAATTGAACTCTCAGGCTGACGCTCTGTCCATTGAAACCAAACCGGCTAGGGCTCTGCTTAAAGAATGCTTTCAGTCTTTTCTGTCTCAGGAGATCCACCCATTTTATCTAGCTAAAACCCTGTTTATTTTTTTTTTTTTTGCCTTTTCCTCAACCTCAATATCTAATCTAACAGCAGAATCATACCATATCACCCTATAAATATTTCACTATGTATCTCTAAAGATAACAAAGACTGCATTTTAAAAGGTCCATCATATCATGCCATTACCCCAGTAGCTTCCCATTTTACATTTACAATAAAACCTACTCTCCTTACTACATCTGTAAGTCCGTATGTGCCTGATCTTTGCTCCTCTCCCTCACCCCATTTCATACCTCTTTTGCTCCGGACTCTGCAGCCACTCTTGCATTTTTTTTGCTTTTTGGACTAAACAAGATATTTTTTAGTTTGGGGTCTTTGTACATGCTGTCCCTTCCTACCGCCCAGCTCTTCATATGGCAGATTCCATTTCATCCTTCAGTCCTTGACTCAACTGCCACCTTGTCAGAAAGATTTTCCCTGATTATCACATATAATTAGTTCCCTTTCATTACGCCCAGCCGTGGGCAAACTACGGACTGCGGGCCGGATCCGGCCCGTTTGAAATGAATAAAACTATTGGAAAAAAAGACCGTCCCCTTTTATGTAATGATGTTTACTTTGAATTTATATTAGTTCACACAAACACTCCATCCATGCTTTTGTTCCGGCCCTCCGGTCCAGTTTAAGAACCCATTGTGGCCCTCGAGTGAAAAGTTTGCCCATCCCTGCTCTACCCCATATCCCCCTATTTATTTTCTTCATAGTGCTTAACACAATTGGAAATTGTCTTGTTTGTTTATTTGCTTATTGTCCATTTCCTATTTACACTATTAGAATGGGGATGGACTTTCCCTATGTCCTTAATGCCTACAACAGTACCTGGCTTATCATAGGTACTCAATAAGTATTTGTTGAATATGCTTTCTAGTGGGCTTGAGCTGACTACAGTAGAGGGTTCATATTGGGGAGATTAAGTATATCTTATTAGTTAGAATGGGTTAATGTACATTAAAATATAAATCTAACGTATGTTGTCTTCCTTAGTATTACAATGTGCCCTGTTTATTTCAGGTTGCCTTTGATATTGGTTGGGAACAAATCTGATCTAGTGGAATATAGCAGTATGGAGACCATCCTTCCTATTATGAACCAGTACACTGAAATAGAAACCTGTGTGGAGGTATGCCTTGTTTGATTTTGAAATTTACTGTTGGTGAATTCTCACTAATTGAGGTTGGGAATAGAAGGCTGGGGAGATGTGGGATGGAATAAATTTCCTGCTGTTTGTGAAGTCATGTAAACCAAATAAAATAGAGAACTTGAAGTTGGCCTCTGGGCTCTTTGTAGACAGCCGTCTTGAAAAATGCATTTTCAGTTTCTTCAAGGAATCTTATTACCTTATTTTCGTGGTTTTAACTCTCATAATTGCTTTCAGAATGTAAAATTTTAAACTTTTTTTTTTTTTTAGTGTTCAGCAAAAAATCTGAAGAAAATATCAGAG